CGTCCCCCGCCGGGTCGACGCGGCGCAGCACAGGGACGCTGACGCGGAGGACGCGCTTGCGTCTCGTCCCGTCCTGGCGCACACGTTTGTACACTGTCTTCTCGCCCTGCACGATGTACGGCAGCGGTTGCCTCGCGGCGTGGCGCAGCATTCGGCATGCGTGGATCGCCGATGCAGCGAGGCGCAAAGCCTTGTACGCCCCGCCACCCTCAAACAGCACACGCAGCAAAAGGCTGAAGACGTCCGCCGGGACCATGACAGAGCCGTGTGGCAGCAGCCTTTCAAGGATGTGCACGTTATCGTCCTCGACGCCGTCGTATCTGCCGCTGCCATTCCCGGAGAGATGTCCCTTCTTAGCACTGCTGTTGTTATTGTTGTCGTTGTGGCGCTTCTTTCTGTGATGAATGGGGTCAGTTTCGCCGCGCTCCCGATACTCCTTTCGCCGCGACATGAACTCCTCGACAAGCAGCTGCCGTCGCGCCAGCACCGCGTTGCTCTCTTCCTGCAGCACTGAGAGGATCGCCATCGCCTCCAGCGCGTACGGTTGCACGCCTCGCCGCACGTCGCCACCACCGCGAAGGCAGCGCTCCCACTGAATGCGTTCTTGCGGCAATGCGGTTCCGCGGCCTGAGGTGAAGAGTGTCGCTTCCACGGGGCTCTGGCGCAGCTGGTACCGATGCGTGGCCGTCGAGAGTATGTGCAGCAGCAACACATTGAGCGTTGACACCACGAAGCAGTGGGCGACAGTGGGGAGGTGAAAGCGCGCGTAGTCCGCAGCGGTGTACGCCATCATCTGCTGCGACGCGAACATCTGCTCATCCGTCCATGCCGACCACCCAGCGGCTTGCAGTAAAGGTGCCGCGAAGTTCCCCTCAACGTCACTTGCGAGCTGACGCGTCACCGCCACCAGCGCGGAGCGGGCACGGGCGAACAGCTGGACGCCCTCGCGGAGAATACCCAGCACAATGATGGAGAGCAACGATTGCAATAACACCCAGCAGTTGACACACTGCGCCTGCACGCCGTCGCCGGGCCAGCGCGAGCCGCCATTCGTGTGTATTGCCAGCAGCGTTGTGTACAGGAGAGAGACACCAGCACCCCCCGCAGTGGCGGGGGCGGTAGTAGCGGCACCATCACGAGACGCGGAAATATGTGCGAGGAGAGCTCCATGCTGCAGTAGCAGTAGTGCTGACCAGCGGCGGTCATCCATCCTGTTGTTCCCTTCGCCCGTCGCTTTGCCGATGCCGCACATATGAAGGCGGTGCTCCAGCAGAACAGCACATGCGTCTTCAAAAAGCTCCAAAGGTGCAACTTCAGCAGCGTTGCCGGCGCCATGCGTGTAGGCATTCACGGCCAGCTGCAGCATCCAACGACTTAGCGGCGCACACAATGCTATTCGATCATCCGATGCCTCGTGCTCGTCGCATGCTATAACAAAGCCACGAAAGGTGGTGAGAACACGGCGAAGGCGTTGCTCACCGGTGTCACGCAGTCGCTGCTGCTGCTGTTCTTCTTCTACCTGCTGAGGCCGGCCGCCCCGCATTGCAGCCAACTCGCGCTCAAACATGGCGTCAAAGGACTCCTCCCCGTTCACTCCTTCAGCCACCACCGCCGGTGGTGCACAAGACTCCGTCATGAGTGCACATATTCCCAACTCCCGCTCCACGGATAGAACGCCTCGCATGGCGTCGTGGTGCACAGGCAGGGCGGCAGCGCTGCTGCCATTGCGTAAAGCCGCTACAACATACTGCTGCACCTCCGCTGGGGAAGTAGTCTCTTTCGGCCACTTAACTCCCGCGTCTTCGATAGCGCCAACAACAACATCCAAAAACATCTGTAGGAGCGTGCCCATCCATGCACAGCTCTCATGCAGTTTTCCTCCGTCACATGCTGCATCCCCAGGAGTGTAAAACAGGCTTTCGGCAAGCATTTCGTTCTTGGGCGTGTCGGCCACGTTGCCGTGCCACCACGGGCAGCAGCCGTTCATAGCGTTCTCACAACGGCCATGACGGAGCCACGCCACACACATCGTCGCTGGGTACTGCACGAATGGACACAGTGTTGCCCCACCCTGCGCAGCACAGCCACCTTGATGCACGCACGGATGCACATCTCCTTCACGGTTTAACAGGCGTTCCAGTCGACGTCGACGCCGCTCTGCCCGCCGCTTGCCTTCCGTCAGCGTCTCCGACTCTGTCTTTACCGCCGTTGTTGTTGTTGTTGCAACAGCAGCATTACCATCAATCGCAGCAGCCTTGGCATCACTCGTCGCAATTGCTTTTGCCAGCGGGGACTCCGCGCCTCCGTGTCGCCTCAACGCCCGTTGCAAGATCGCGCTGCCTCCTCCCCCCTTCCGCGACTCCGTCGCCGTGTCGTCTGCCGGTGCGCCATCGCGCCGGCTCTCGCGCACGAACGCCATTGCACGCGGCGGCGCGGCCGTGTCGTGCAGAGGCGTGTCGCTCCACTTCTCGGC